TTTTTGTCTTATGTCCCCCACTAATTTTTCTCATCTACAGACTCCTATATCTCATAAATCCATCTTTTTTTGTTCTCTCATACAATTTAATTTTCCTATTCATTTATACTATCCAGATCGCGTCTTATGACTGCAAATGCCATTCAAATATCAAAGCTGATATTTAGGCGATGGTCGCCATAGTTTACCATAGCTGAATTGATCGTGATGAATTAAGAATAAGGCTTCACTTTGACGACGGATTTCATTTAGATTAATTTTGTTAAAGTTTTTTTATCAAGAGTGGACTGAAGATTTGGCTTTACCTCAACCTCCAACGGGCTATAAAATCGCTCCCTTCGAGTTGTGGTAATATTATATCACCTGATCAGACAACTCAATAGAAACTGAGTTTCGGGAAATATATATATACTTTCCAGACACGATTCCCTTTTATAGTTCTGCGTGCATATCAAATGGCTTAAAGTATCGAATTTCCAATGTCTTTATTCACTTCTATTACTCTACTTATAAACGAAAAATAAGTAATGTTATCTATTGTTATAGCAAAAATGCTTTTGTATCATCGGCAATCCCACTAAGGAATGTGTTATGTTAAAAGGCCTGGCCTTCCTTGCAATTCACGTCTGCCCTGTGAGCCAAGGGCACTCGTGACAATGTGGCAGAGTGGTTAACATGTCAAGCTCGCATGTTGCACCGTCACAGTTCGACTCCCCATGGGGGTGTTAATAAGACGTATGCGAGGTCGAAACAAAGTCCATCCCGGATGAGAACAACTTTTAGGAAAACAAGGCTACTTAAATTCAATGGAAACGTCAGCTCTACTCATTATGGGGAAATTCTACTACAAAGTCCTTCATCACCTTAAACGAAATAGGGTGAACACCTCTTTTATTGCTATGCCCTGATTTTAACTTACCTCTATTCCTACATGCAGCATTCTCTTTCGCACTTGGTTTACATTTTGATTGTAACTTTAACATCTAATCTTATTAGATTTAATTAACCTATTATTCTTTTTCCTATTTGAAATTCTATACCTATGCGGATAGTGTATATTTTATCACTTATATGCCTCATTTTAAATTACATTTGGCTACCTCTTCTATAATATACCTGTTCACCATTAATCCTTCGTTACCACATTAAATTGATTCATTTTCATTTTGACTTATTTCAACTTTATGATATGAGATTCATCTACCATATTTATTTATCTACCTGGTTGGTATCTTGATCCGATGCTAAAATGATTTTATAACTTGCCTTTCTTCGGAAGGTCAATTCTAATCTATTTCTTTGTAGAATTGTCATTTAGTCTTCCCTAGATCGTGATGTCCACTTATGCCTAAATATTCCAGTTAGATTAGTAAAATCCTTTTTACTGCCACTACACTTTATTTTCTCTTTTTTCGTTCCGCCTTTCCTATTTTCCTCTCTTTTTAACATTTACATCACAACCATTATCCAATTTCATCAAACTTTACTCCTTTCCTACTACTTTAGCTTTTCCCCATCAGCTATAGTAATTCTCATTTTCACTTAACTCTGATTACCTGCATGACTTCAGGCCGGCCGAGTCTGCCACAAACAAGCTGTTCTGGACATCCAAAAGCACCTCTTGTGGCCGCTGCTGCTCTTCGCTGCTTGGCTCGTTTGCCCGACCTATGCTCACCTAGCCTTCTCATAGGTCGATCTCCTTCCTCAGCTCATGGACCTGCTCCTAGTCCTGCTCACTCGAATCCTCGATGCACTATGTCTCGAGTACCAGTCTCCTCCGTCCACCTTACTGGATTATTGCCGATCCTTCTACGACTAGCCGTTCGAATAGCACAGGTGATTTATAGGATTTAATAGGAATTATACTCTTTGGTTAATATCTTCTTAAAAACTTAGAATTTCACTATTTCCATTTTGTCATGCAAAATGAATGTATTCACCCTAACTAGTATAATATTAAAAATTTGAGTGAAGAGAAACAATTGCTTGCTATTGTTTTTTCGTCCTTTTAATTAATATATTTTGTACATTCACAATGATGATTTAGCTTCTTATTTCTTGCCTAATATATACCTAGAGAATCTTGTTGGTTTAGGAATGTTTATCAATATCTAAAAATGACGCATCTAGACAATAGTATGGATGAAAATCTGGTACTGTCGAAGAGAAGATGTCAGTGCCTTTAAAATCTATTCCCGAGTAGATACCTTGGCATGCTTCAGTAAATCATGCAAAGATTTTAGGAGTTAACTAAGTCTAAGTAAAAAATTTAATTTTCCTGGACTTATAACACATCAATCTTTCGTGTTTGAGTAGAGTTTCGAGACTACCAGTAAATATTACATCAATCTTTATTTATTTGTATAAAAGTCGCTTAAGCTTGTTTTCGCAATTTGGTCATATTAGCAGGAAGTCTTAGAGGAACGCACCTTGTCCGGAGTTCATAGTATGCATGATAAGTTCCAGAGTCGGACTGCGGACTTGGTACCTTTGAACCGCCGATATAGCTTTTCTATTAAACGGCAATTTTTCTGCCAAGGGAAGCCACACTGAAATCTATTGATTTTAAAGCTTGTGAAGCATCTTTTTACTTTAAGGTGGCATTACCTTCCATCCATCCACCATGAACATAGGCCAAACAGCCTCCTATAACAAAAGATAAATTTTTAAACCATGAACAAAAACCGAAATTCGAAATGAGATTATCTGCTTAAGCCTTTTTCTTTTTATTATTTGCTAACCTTACCTATTTATTCTCTCCTTCATTCTCTGAAATTTGTGCTTTCAACTTGCTTCCAGACTCCCCTTCTCCATCCTAGTCTACCTCCCCCCTTTCTCGATGGTGGCCAACCGCTCACTGCAACTCCCGACAGACCTCGTATTACCATGGCCACATTGCTGCTTTATCACCTTTCATTCTCCCTTGACACCTCTGGCCATTCATCCGAGGGGTTGGGTTGCAACGACTCAGAGATAAGCTCTACCTCAGCAGAGAAGACTCAAAGCCCATCCTTGCCGCCACCACCATTCTCTCTTACTGAGACAGCCGCCGATAAAGAGTCTTGTGTAACTACTCGGCAGCGACGTGAATGGCTTGAAATATGTCGCCTGGTTGGCTGGACTCGCAGCCAGACCTTACTTGCTGGCGCCGTAGTTGATCTCTTGGCTCGACTCGCTGGGCATCGATATCCAGCAACGGCAGGAATGGGTATCAATCTTGCGGCTAGTGACGTCAGCCAAGCTGCCCCTTCCAATAGTCCAACTTATGCTGAAGGTCCTGGGGCTGAAGCCGAGGCTGTGACTACATTGAAGAGTTTGGCCGACCGGCCGGACGAAATCTCCGCTACCGCCCTACCTGACAGCAGTGTCAGCAGTAGCAGCAACGGCAATTTCAATAGTAAGGACGGAGAGGCTTCAGGCCTTGAAGACAACTCTACAGATGCACATTCTGAGATCGACGCAAAGGATCAGGGCATACAATCGCGGAAGGAGGAGCCGATACAGATGGCACTGAACCGTCAGGAAGCTGAGGAGTGGTATCGACAAGTGGCTTCAGCTGTGCTTGCACTCGTTAGGCATGAACATCCGCTTCACATAGGATCAAATCACTTTAGAAAGGTGTTTTTTCTTTTTCCCTTTACTGTTTGTAGAATTAAAGTTAACCTATTAAATATTGGTAGCCTAGTTGCTGTTCAAAGGCCCAATAGTTGAGTTTTGCATGGTATAGTGCAGCCATAACTTTATCTTACTTTCTTATCGTCTTCTATCCTCTTACCTATTTGGTTTACTTTGCGGTTTATACTACATTTTCGACCTCACATGCTGCTCTCAACTGCCACAATTACGCCAATTCAATTATACACAAGAGCCGACTTTACTAATATTATATTGTTGGCTCGACTTTGTTTTCGCAACTTTGTCGGAGCGTCAGGGAGACCTTGTGAAAGATACCTAGTCCCGTGCCCTCTGCCATAGAATTCGTGATTTCCAGCATTGGACCATTGGCTGGGTACATTCCCAAACATTTCGCCGGCATCGTAGTCGCCATCGTCAGTGAGAGGCGCCATCATCAGCACAGAGTTACAACTGATCAAAGTGACAAGTGGAGGCAATCCCCTTGACCAATATTCTGTTCAACCGTTGAGCATCACTTCTCGCCCCTATTTTTTGTTTTACCTCATACTTGGCAGAACTAATCCCGTATTTTGTTGATCTAACTTCTCGATCCTTTACTCAGCTATAGAATATAATATTGTATGACCTGTCAATGGTATTTAGATCTTCATGTTTTTCAACTTCTTGAAGTCAAGGCGAACTATATACTTCGCCCTTTGAAATACATTATAAATGAATGGTTATTTATATGGTTCCTGAAGATTGCGATCCATAAAAAAAGCTAATTAACGCCTTGCTATGTGGAGGAAGCAGGCATCTGATGTTATGTTTAAATTGATTTATATGCTTTTGCCTTAATGACCTCATTGGCTTTCCTTAGGCCAAATGGCATTTCACTTTGAAGTTTATATCTACTTTCTTACTCAAAGCTAACAATTTGACGAATACTCCAGATTTACATCTTAGCTAGACTGCACAAAAAGTAAAATTAAATGGAGTATGAAGTGCTTGGTAGATTTGACTTACTTTCAAAGGATCCCTCAAGTTGGCCTCTTTATATTTCTTTGCATTTTATGAAATTTGTTATTGGTATATTGACCTCTATTTCTGATTTTTTTTCCATAAAGAATTGCTCCAGCGACTCGGATGATGCGTGTGCCTGTGCAGGCTTTTCGAGTACTGTTGTCCCGGCGGGAGTCTCTGTACTCGGCTGCTGTCTAGCTGCCATAACTCTTGTAAGTAGGGCTCTGTCATCGAGCCCGCTCGCCCTCTTCGCCTATCATGATTTGCGAAGTGGCCTTGTTGGCATTCTGGGCCGCGTTTGGCGTTTGGCCGATCTTGACTATCTTTCTGTATCTGTCCCATCTCAATCCGAGCCGTCGAAGACAGCTAGTCAGACCGCATCCTCTCAGTTGCCTGGAGAAGAACGCCTTCGATCACCGCTGGCTGGAATGCCGGCTAGAAGAGTTTGTCTGGCTGCCATCCAGGCTTTTGTACTACACGACGAGCCAGCTGTTGGAGCCTTCTGTGTGAAGACAATGACTCCCCAAGTTGGTTTATCTAATTATTTTATTTAGCCGTATTTCTTTTATTACCAGCTGTCCATCTTCTTACTTGTCTCTCATTTGCGTAGTGTCAGTCTGTTTGGTAGATTTCTAGAATTCGTTGTCTTATTGTCCAATGCAATTTCCGAACGTAGGGGCAGGCTACAGTTGTTAGCAGTCGTACTTTAGTAGCCTCGTTTATGATAAGAATATTCTGTCAGGCCGTCCTCTTTTGAATATCTTCTCTCTGTCTAATTAAAGTTCCTTCCACCAACCACACATAATCTTTTTCAGCGTTTTTTATATAAATATTTTGGATCCTAACGCTTTTTGACTTGGCCATCAATGTTTATCCCTCAGTCAGACTCTTGTGCTTTAATATCAAGTTAATGTGGACCTTTAAACCTGTCAGGTGACATGCCTTCCAAAATGCTATTGCATCAACCTCAAATTGGTACCTATTACATACAGATATCCCTACTTGGAAGGCTGGGAGCATCTTTAACTCTTCTCTCATGTTACGTGTACACGATTACTGTTTTTGACTGTGAGCATAATCGAATTTCTAGTGAAGGATACGATAAAAATAGCTTACATCATTGGTTTGTCGGTTTTTATATAGTGACTATTAATCTTTCTGTTATAAACTGAATATGTCATTGCCATTTCAGAAAGAGACTCATAATCAATGACTATTATTACATAATTAAATTTATAAGTAGAATTTAGAGACTACCAGTAAATCAAATATATGAAATGTGCTCAACCTATTTCGTTTAAGGTGATGAAGGATTGTTAGTCGAATTTTCCTAGAATGTTCTGAGTAGAGTTTACATTTTCATTGAATTTCGCATAGCTTTGTTTCCCAAAAGTTATTCTCAGCCAGAGTGGATTAAATTGCCCTTTGACTCAAGGGTATTCGTGGCAATGTGGCGTAGTGGTTACGATTTACGGTTATATCATACTCTGCACTTCCATGGCTCGAGTCCCGCTGGGGGTGCTGATTATGTCTAGGCGAGGCTGAAACTGCAGTCCACTCTGGATGAGAATGCCTTTTCGTAGGAAAGGCTATGTGAAATTTGATGGAAACGTTAGGTCCACTCATTCCATTGTGGGAAAATTCAACTACCAATTCTTCATCACCTTAAACTAAATGAGATGAAGACATTACATTACCTAAACACTCTCATTTTTTAATTTTGATCTTATTTAGTAGATACATCTCCCTCGAGAATCAATTTACTCCACAATTTGAGAGGATAAAAGGCGCATATGAGTCTGATTTCATTTCACCAACACTGTTATATTCTTTCTTTTGGCATTCATGGTTGCTGCCTTTTGGGGAGACTTTCATTTTCTATAAAAGTGCACGAAGGAAAAATTCGAAGTTTGATCTCACCGGAAGACGACGGCTGAATCCTGTTGTACTGCAGCCATTTGGCTTTAATACGACGTCCAGATTGACGCAGTCTACGAGACATTCTCTCTTGTTTCGGATTTAAATAGGCTGAGCTTTCGTTTAACATACGATGGACATCATCAGAATTGGAATTTATTTTTGTAAAGGTCCAAAATTTTCTTGTCCTAGTGTTAACTTGAGACTTTTACATGACTGACTTCTAGGTTTGATAATGTCCATCATATGGTGGGTGAAGGCTCAGTCCGTTTTCACCCTAAACGTGGGAGAAGGCCTCACGTATTGCGTCAGCCTGGAAGTCGTATTAAAGCCAAACAGCTGTAGTACAAAGGGCTTTAGCCGTCGTCTTCTGATGAGATCAACATACGAAACTCTTCTTCATGCACTTTGATACGAAATTAAAATCTCCTCAACAGTGTTAGCTCATGGAATTCATCAAAACCCAGCTACTCTTCGTATCTATATTGTTATAGTTTTCGCAAGGGGAATCAGCTTTCTATGGATAGTAAAATCTTGTTTAGGGGACTTTCATTTCGTATAAAAGTGTGTGAAGAAGAGATTCTTAGGTCGATCTCACCAAAAGAGGACGGATGAATGCCGTTGTACTGCAGATGTTTGGCTTTCATACGACATTCAGATTGACGCAGTCCACTAGACTTACTCGCTCGTTTAGGGTGAAAACAGACTGAGCTTTCGTCCATCATGTGATGGACATCATCAGAACTGGGTCTCATTCCTGTAAAAGTCTCACGTTAACACTCGGGCAAGAAGACTATCCGGCTCTATCTTACCTTTTATATAGACTCAATTAAGCCAAAATAAAATTAAAAATTCAGATACTGGTCTTGTGACTTTTGTTCGAGTGTGTGCGTATGTGTATGTGTTTATGTTAGCGTCTATACGCAATACCGGTCCTAAATCAGAGTTATCAAAAGGCTAATTTCAGGCTCCTATCATCAAGGCCTAATGACCCTGACAGAGACTGCGTAAGTTCGTAAACAAGTATGGTTGATATAATGAGATGTAAGCTTGTAAACATTTAAGTCAAGTTACGAAGCCGATTGTCCTAACCTCTCAGTCTAGGGTCATTAACGTGTAACCCCCCAATGAAAGGCATAACTGGGACGGCGTAATCTGGCACGTCTGGTTTGGTTGATGAGCTTAATCTAACATGTTGAACGAGTGTGAACGAGAGTTGAACGAGTTAGAACCATCACCGAGCAGACAAATTGAGTCGCCTTCTTTTAGATGGCGGCTTAGCACCCTCTCTCTCCTTTAATCTATCTATCAAGCATGCGTTTCCATATTCATTTCCAATGGGAAATTCCGACGAGTTGACCTCTGCACCGAATAGGGAATTCGAGGCTACCACCAACCAAGCTGCTGCTAGCAGCGAAAGTCGGAATTGCATTTTGTGCGCCCGACCAACAACCCAACTGAAGACATTCTTTAGCAACTTTCAACGTATTTCCTAAGCTATTAATTTCAATAGCCTCTCTTATCTTTCTTTTAACCTCAGACGTACCATAATCAGCAAACCTACTAGTTCGAGACCATGTCTAGTTTCTACCATGTGTTCGGCCACTTTTCTTCGTATCTATTTTTCATGTGTAAGTAAGTTTCAAGGGATATGAATACCTCTCAGACATAACAAACTCTATTTTAGGGTATCGATTATCGTATCCTACCCAATTTAACCTCATTATCAGTAAATGTGAGCTTCACAATGAGTTATTTCTCTAACTTTGCATTCATTGTTTGATCATAAACATTTTAGGCTGATCTCAGATTCCCCAGCAGGCCATGTAGAGGAAATCTATTCCTTTTCTTAGCTTATCTGGTCTATGCTAGGCTGCTATCAAAATGGCAGAATAATCTTCTTACACGATGGGAGATATGAATATTTTATACAGACTGCCATCAAACAAGGAATTTTTTTTAATTACCTCTTCATACCTTCTTTTCTTTTAATTAAGGTATTCCGTTGGCTCTATAGTCTAACTAGCCTAACGGACGATACTGCTCTTCAGTCGTCTATCCCTACAGGCCTCAAACGCCTCTCTGATGCACATTCGGTCGCGACTATCACTCCTTGTCTCTCGGTCCACCTCGGACTTGCGGTAAATGCTGCCATTGAGTTGGCTGAGAGCCTAGTTGACCTTGCAGAAGCCTCTTGTCGTCAGAGCCTGCTGCTTTTGTTGCTGCCTCTACTGGCCAGCCTTCTACAACCACCACAACAGTATGACGCCACCAACACTGGCCCCATAATTCCCAATTCACTCAATCCAGGGGCAATGCATTGGCTTGCTTCTGCTGCCTCTGCGTCACCACCCTCAGCTGCCGTTTGCTCCATTGGTTTGCATCTGATTAGCCTCCGTCATCTGCTTCGACTAGCGCCACGGTTTCCCAGCGAATTTAGGTCTGTCGCTGGCCTCCTTGGCCCCGAGCTTCGTGGGCGGATGGAGGCTGCCGTTCGGCATGCTGTCTCAAAGGAGGGTCTCGGTCATGCCAGATCCCGCCGTCATCTGCTCTCTTTTCCAATGGCTAATTCCGACGAGTTGACCTCTGTACCGAATAGGGGATTTGAGGCTACCGCCAACCAAGCTGCTGCTAGCAGCGAAAGTCGGAATCGAAATTTGGACGCCCGACCAACGATCCAACTGAAGACAGACTTTAGCAACTTTAAATAAATATGCTGAATTTGTTTTCGCTGTCTTTCTATAATTGCACATGTGCATTTCCTGTGAATTTATGTTCTTATGCTTTTATTTGTACGTGTGTATATATATATTCATTCACTTATATATATATATATATATATATATAAGCCTTTGCACAATGTATTTTGAGGTGAATCGCCCACTCTAATCCCGCCAAAATAACTCTGGAAAAAATGACACGAAACTATTATTTACTCTTAGAAATCACCTTAATATCGCGTCTATATTTTCGTAGGCACATCTCTTGTGAATTCACTAACCCTTGCAATCTTTCATTTATGCTGAGATTTATTCCCTTTTATATTCTTCTATTAAACTCTTAAGTTGATATATGTTTACTCTTTTAGAAATTCTTTTCTCAGCTATTTGCCCACTTATCCAACAATCTATCCACTTTATTAGGCTATATTTATATATTCATGTATATGTATATACATGTTTATCCCAATATATCCATCTTTCTTTTTCCTTTCGCCTCTTTATAAATATCTACTTCCCATTTGTTTCATTTACTGATTTATTTTGTTTTCAATTATTGCTGCACATATGAAAAATTCTATTTTCTGCTCCATCTAACCTAAGTTCCTTATATTTACTCTATTTATCCCTTTTATTTTTCGTGTTTACACAATCATTGCTCTACGGAACTGGCAGTAAAGAGAATTTAATATCATTTTTATACCTCGATCATGTGTATCTATTATTATTTAGAATTGTTATATGCCATAATTATTTATAGTTTCCACCTTTCTCGCTCCGCCAGCAATCCTTTCTCAATTTCTTTCTCCGAGGTGCTGTTTATCCATATACCTAATATACTCATAAAGGTTTTATGCTGTCGCTTACTCATTGATCTAACTTATTTTGATTAACATTCTATTGATAGTTCGTCTTTGTCTGCGCCTATACGGGAAATTACTTATTACTTTCATTATATGGAGACCTCTTTTAGAAGGTTTATCTTTACTGACTCCTTATTTTGATTTTATTATATGAACTTGCCATAATTTGTCAATTCACGGGCTTCAAGCACTGGATTCTTTGGTTTCAACGTTTTGGCACTTGACAGGGTCATGCCTCACCAAGTAAACTCTTCACAAACATATTTTAGAACATTGTGTTACTCATTCTTCTTCGTCTCTATTCAGCCCACATGTGCTAATATATTTGTAGTTTATAGTCTAATCCCCGCTATCTGGATGATTGAGAATGTGTATAGCCCTCACTCAGTCCCAGTGATTTAGCCAGCACTATACCTGTGCTAACTAAAAGAACGGACGACATTGCCATGTCGGGCGGCATGCACGTATAATTACCGATAATTAATAGGAGTTTTCTAGCCACCCTGAGCTTCTATTGCAATTAATTGCTCTCCAACTCTCAGTCTACTTGGTGCACACAATCAAAACTTTATGATGCATCCTTGTTATCGTACAGACATTTATTCTAATATTGCCATCTTTTGCATCTCCGATAACTATTCTATTTTAATAGGCACCATTCCACTCACTATCGGCCTCATTTTTTTCTGTTTTCTAATGCGCAACATTCTTTCCTGTTTGTTTTCCTCTGCTTTAGTTAATTATTTTCATAGGTGCATTCACGCCATCCTTGTTTCTGTATTATGTTGGTCTCTTCCTCTCTTATCTAATAATTTCATACTAATCATTTTGCCCTCAGTTTTCCTTGATTCATGGGATTATAAATCCTTTGCATCCGTTTTCGGAAATATCTATTATACTGGGTTTTTCCGTATTTACGGACCATAAAGCTTCTTCATGGTTAGGATGCCATTATCTCCACTATTCATAAAAGACTTTTAGCCACTGTTTATTTTCCTTATTCAAAATTGTTTTCATATTTTCATCGGGACCTATTACTATACATCACGATATGTTTCCTTTGTCCAAAATAAGGCCAACAAGCGTTGAAATTTGAGTCACATAAGCCCTCGTTTGAGGTTCTTAAATCCATCTTCAAATTGACACCTTGTTCAAGAGGCCCGAAATAAGCACCCGGTTTGGCAGAAATCTTCGGGTATGGTGTGCTGTGTCATCTTCGTCACCATATCTCTCCGGGCATTAATTTCATCGATGGTCGCCAACATATTCGTTCTGCTGCATTTAATATCCACACAAGCCTGCGTTACTTTTCAAAGTATTGATGTGTTTTTTTGCCTCCTGTCTTACGAGGAAGCCAATAGAGTTAGGCAATGAAGTGACCCATCTTAGCATGGCCCATTTTATTAAATCAGAATCAGGTTAGACAATCTTCGGCTGTCATTTGATATGAGAAATTAAATTTTCTGGAGCACGTTCCAATTATAAAGCAAAACAGATAAAATGGAAGTATGCTTGAGGACAGGACAACCCAATGGGTGCCTCTAAAGACCAACAATGAAGATAAAGGGAATTCCGTAAGAAATGCAGCAAAAATGGCACATGAACAGGGAATTCGACAATTGAAGTATAAATCAACTATCACGAAAGTATGCGAGACCGATGATAGCATTCACAATAACGAAGATGCTAATCGAAGGTAGTCAAGGTCACAAATAGTCAATGTTCGTCTGTTTCAATTCCAAGAAGGTAACGATAGACCATCTAACGCTGCAGAGAATTCATGAGTTTTTAATCCATATGAGCATCTTAGGGTACACCGACCTCGCAGCACTGATTTGCCAACCTAGTTAGCATTCAATTATTGCTTTATAGGCTCGCTAATCTCAGTTATTTGGCTAAAGTCCATCTGAAGAAGTTAGGGGTAGAATTCAAGACGTGACCTCTGTAGCCAAGACTTATGGAAGACCACTTCATATTACAGTTGCTTGATAGAGAAACATTGAAGGACTTATTAATAACTTTAGAACAGATTGATGAAAAAGTGAAATCCACATCGCATGTGTAGGATGAGCGGCCGTTGTTTCTAATTGTGGAGGCAATTTGCTGAAGCAAGAGCTTTAGGAAAGGTTATTCATAAAGAAATTTCTTTTAGTAATAGTCCTAGATTATCAGTATCATTATACTTATATACTAGAGTTCTGAGTAATAAGTTGTAGGGGATTATGAAGCCTATAACAACAATTATTAAATACTTAGATAAAGAATTAGACAAATCAACTAAGCTTTTGTAGTCAGTAGCTTTGGCACCTATGGCGACTGACTTCGAAGCTAGATTACACTGATTAGCCTCACTTGCACTTTCTACTATGAGTTAGTCATTTCGGGGAATTAAACTTGCTTTATTCTAGGACAAGAATCGTTTTAAACTCGTGTATTTATTCGTTGAAGAGCGTCTTCCTAGCCTATTGACTAGTCGGTTTACTGGAGGCTTATGAAGAAATATTTGCCCTTCCTTTGGCACCAAGGCAATTTGTCTTTACTTTAAATATTTGACGCGCTAACAATTCTAATTGAGTTTTTCATATTTATCCGAAGACGCCGACATTATCTGCAAGCGCATTATCACGGTTTGGGCATCTATGATTCAGACATCTTACCGAAGGGCATCATTAGGTGAAGGTTTGGGCTTCATATGAATAGTCATGAGTCCCTCAATTTTTCTTACTTTGACTCTTTAGACCCATTAAGTGCCTTAATTTCTAAGTATTTATTGCAGTATTCAGGCTCCAAAATATAAATGTCAATAATGGCGTTGTTATCGTGGTCTGCCAGCAAGGATATGATACTTCAAAGATACACTTATGTAGGTAATGCCATTGATCAAGGCGTCTCTGAAGTGACTGGCTGAATCTTGGTTCATCGATTTGTCCTGTATAGGCTATTACTATTACTGCTATTCTTGCCTCTGCTGCTGATGCTCTTTGAATCATGTTTCGTTAGATCTTGAATAATGCCAAACATAACAAAAACATTTGTAGCAAGCTAGCGAACAAACCATGAACAACTCTCAGTTTCAGCATACTGACTATTCACATAAGAGTTTGCAAAAATCAACTTATGATTCCAAAAAAGCTACTGATACCCCATTAATCCACCGTTAAATTCTTTAGATCATATCCCTACCTAAATCACTCCTTATTCCTTTCCTGACCTAGCTAATTAGGCCTCCCCACTCAGCATGACTTGAATTCAGCCAATTTTTATGAGTACATGACATACAGACATTCATACTATAAAACTTATTCAATCGTGCATAACACTGTTAGATAGAGAGGCTAGATTTAGGCAGATAGTGATTTTTTTATATATTTTCTTATAAATGTCTCCTGTACGAATTTTCTCCCCTAGAAAAATAGTTTGGATGCTGTTCTTATGAATACTCTTTTTATAATCTTAGCTTATTGTGCAAACGACTAAGGCAGGCGGAACATGATTTCTACTGTTCAGAACTTTGTTGCAAGACAAAGGAACAGCCACTTAAATTTATTCTAAAAATACTTTCGTCAGTAGAGGGAATGTTTTCCTTTATGTGAATAGCGCCATCACAAATAGCTTTTTGCACATTTGGCTGCATTAACAATAAGCTGTTATAGTCACTAATTCAATCATGAATTCCGATAATTCATTCTATATTGTTTCCGGATTCAGGACGACATCTTCTTAACTTAATTCAGAAAAGGGATATAATTGAGGAGGAAATAATCTTAAGATTTAAAAAAAGAATAAAAATAGTGTCTGTAATTAAATTAAGATACCCTTGTACTGTGAGCTCTTACCTTAATACGACTGAGGAATGCAGAAAATTAACCTAAGTCAAAGCGGGGAAAGAATAGTGGTTTTACTTTATTCTATACAAATTTCCAGATATAAAAATTACTACAAAGTAAAATGTTCATAAAGTTTTCGATCAAGCCCTGAAATAGATGTTTATAGCAAAAGAAGAAGCACTATCTGCTTTATAAGACTCTATAGCTTAGATATAGGGCATCATAATTTATGCTATACGAAATAATCATTAGAAATATATAAGGATGATGGTTTTCCTAATATGCCTTCGTTTATGAAGCC